CTGCTGACGCTCAACCACGGCAGGGTTTGCAACGACTATTCCTGCGAAGAGGACGACTAGTACGGTAGAGAACTGCATTTTGTAGTAGTGCGATAGCGTCGGTCGACGACGGCTACTCTAGTGTGGTATAAGTGAGTAATAGATGAAAGGGAGGGATGGTTTAAAAAAGTGGGTCACAAGACGTGCTAGAAGCCGGCTGAAGTCTCGAGAAGATAAAGTGCAAGTGAAGCTTATTAAATACGCAATTCAAGGCGAACAGCCCATGAGCAATTAACTTCTCGTCGGAGTTTGGCTGTCAAGAAGTGGCCGGACTTGCTGTACCAGCGGGCGCGCCGCCTCAGGCCGGTAGGATCTCAAACAGCGAAGACATGACATGGGAATTTAAACCTGACTCATGGAAGAAACTCGCTTTAGCTTTCTAGCGCTTAAGACTGTTGAGATGAACCCTTTTGTCGGCGGTCCTTGATGGACCGGCCCGCTGGAATACTGATTAGATCATCACACAGAGCAAGTGGCGGTATCAATCAACAGTCTTTCGTCGAATTGGAAAATCACAGATTGATTGCTAATAACCTTTGCAGACAGACTGCCGCCCTCCGGGCAGATATATGAATGCTGCACATGTGTTCTGAGACAAAAGCCCGCTTGTTATTTCTGTGGTCGGTATTTTTGTGCTGCTTTTGGCTCAGAATATCCGAAGGGCAGGGCTGTGATAAACCTTAGCATTGCAGTGGCCTTCCCTACAGCAACCAGTACATTGACAAGAGTTTGGTCTCGGACCGTTAGAGGGCTCGGCCATCTTCTTCAATCCGCAAGTGAGACAAGGATTCTCATTGCGATTGCCGCGGAGCTGTGAATATCACCAACAAGCTGGGGAGCAAAACGAGGCGGGGTGTGAAATACCACAAGGAAAGCTGGACGCAACTTTTGACCATGAACCTCAGCTCTAAGCAGTGTGGCGAACCGCTACCACAAATGTTCAACCTGAATCCTGCTGTTTATGGAAATCATCAAACTCGCCCACAAGAGACGAGCATGCAATGTGGCATTGAATCAGCAAGTGTACCGAACCGATGACCCAGGTAAGAGTATTTAATGCCGTAAGTGCCGCTGGTAAGGACCTCCAGCTAGACCGTCACCACTTTCATTATTATCATCGTTAACCCGTTGGCGGGTTGCCTTTTTGCCAAAATCCAATCTCTGACTTCCTGTTCCGCCACAGGGTCATTATAGTCAGCTAGTTAGTTATCTACACCATTCCGTACGTGAGTCTTCTCATGCTTGCTTCGTGTGGCGTATGCATCTGACCCTGACTTGCTACAGTGATGGCGCGGGCGCAATTTCTGCTGGCGGCTCTCTATGCTGCTCTGGTGCACACTGCAACAGGCGCAACCCTCTGCCGTGTCCAGTTTGAAGACCCCGCCAGCGGATCGTCGTTTGGGGGTTGCTCCCAGGCTCCTGGTGGTGGCGGCGTGCTGATTTCAGATCAGCGGAGTGTTAGCTACGAGGTGGGCAGCTCGTGTGAGCTTAATATCACCAATGCACCTGAGGGAGTGACGGGTACGGCCTTTGTTGTTCAGTCTTGCAAGTGAGCATTCAGATGTGCATTGCAGACTAGCTATGCATAGAAAAGAGACAGCTTATATCATTCGTGAAGTTTGCAACGTATTAGACAAGGTGACACATGGCATATCTGGTGCCTGGTCGACAACAAGGTCAATCAGCAGGCTTTTGAAAAGTCCACCTGAACTAGGTCGCGCCATGAATACGATGGATGCTGATGAGCTAAGGGGATGCCGCTCCCTGGCGTTTTCGCACTTAACGAGCCATGCGGAAGAGTTACGAGCGTTGAAGCGTCTCGTGAGCAGATACAGTGCATTCGACGCTTAACTCAGAAGCTGAGGAACGGAGAGAGGAGGGGTCATCGAGGTTGCAATCCGTGATTCTGCGGCCGTCCACCGCTACCACTATAATGCACATTTGCGGAGGGGGAGCCATCAAGGTCGGTTAGCTCAGTTGGTTAGAGCGTGGTACTAATACGACATCCATCGTGTTGAGTAATGCCAAGGTCGGGAGTTCAAGCCTCCCACTGATCATTTTTTTCCTTTTAACTAACTCTCCCAGACTGGTTTGTTGGTTTCCATCCTTTGCCTCCTCTGTGTGTAGTGGCTCTGCACTTTCGGCGTTCACGGCCTTGACGGCAACAGCTCGGCCCCGTGTTCAGGAACGAAAAGTGGGCCATGCGGCCCGGCGCAGTACTTGCTCTTTCCCCAAGTCACCAGTGGGCATCTTGGCAGGCAGGTATGTCCTTCCTTTGTAGGTCTACCTACTTCGTTCGCGCTGGTATTTTGCCTTAAGTTTTGTGTCTCCTTCTTTCTGCGGCGGCTTTTGGCAGCTCGACTTTGACGCCATCTTCCATGCTACTTTCATTCCCAACTCGTTCAACATCATCAACACCACAGCGTTGGTCGACTGCATCATCCTTTTAGACTTCGAAGTGGACGGAGGGTTCGAATTCTATTCCACGTCCAACAACATTCGTTCTGACATACCACATCCGTCATGACTTCTCCCATCATTCATTACCTCACCACCGCGGATGGCGAGCTACCTGAGCTGCTAGATTTCGAATGCGACGACACCCGCACCACTGCGACGTCCGAAACACCACCCATGCGACTTCCCGTCGAGATACTGCACCAAGTCTACCTTTACCTACATCCCTGCGACTTCAACTCCGCAAGACATACCTGTCGCTCCTGGTTCACGATGAGCCTCAACCGATCCGTCCTCGTTCAGATGCTCAAAAGGGGCGGCTGGTGGTCAAGTGTCGAAGACATTCTGGGTCTCAGCCTCTTTTCTCAACGAAAACAATATCTCGATGAAATATGGACAATGTCGAAATGGCTATCGAGGGAATGCACTCTCTGCTGCCAGTACTCCAACCAGCAGCCCGCTTTTGTGGAGGTCGGCCAAACGCTGTTTTCGGATTGTCAAGAGGGTACAGGTGCATATAAACTCAGCACCAGTGTGTGTGGTCGGTTCTTGATGGCCAGCCACAACAAAACACTCGACATCTACGAGCTGGATCACCGATGCGAGCCTTGTCGCTCCCGCTGGGCACAGTCGGCCTTAGCGGACAGCTCCCGCCCCAGAGGCCTACCTAGGCCCGTGGCGAGGATCTTGTGTCCTGCGAACATCATCGCTTGCGCAATGGATGCTAGCCTCGGAAGACAAACCATTGGTTTTCTCATCGAAGAACAGGTTGGTCTGGTCTGTGATCTGTCTTCCCACGAAAGATCTTACTGGGAGACTACTTCATCCCAGGCTCCGTTAGGCCACTCAGACAACGACGCGGAACCTTCATACATAAACCCAGATGGGGATTGCGTCTGCCAACAATGGCACGCGTGGCGCGAACCGCCAATCCTACGAAGGGTCTATTACAGCGTCGGTGGCGCTGATGATCAGCCCCGTTCCGTTGCCATGTGTCCACATCGCGAGTGTGTAGCATTCGGCTGCGCGTCTGCGGTTGAGCTTCACTAGGTTGACGAGCCAACTGGCCAAGACCTCGCTCGACGCTTCCCTCTGTCCACGGAAAGTGACTTTCTGTACTTCCTTCCGCCCAGCTCCCAAGCATCTGGAGTTGATACGTCTCTGTGGCTTCGGCTCATCAGCTCAGCGACCGCTGTAGGTCCTACAACACATCCCATTTACGACGCGTTCGCAAGGTTCAAACACTTTGATGAAACAGCCGTTGTGTATAGCCTGAAAACAACTGCCGCCGGGCCAAGGACGTCCGTTACCAGTATTCACACAGTCACCGAGCAACTTGCCGATCCATTCCCTTATACGACGCTGCGTCAAAGTCCCGGACCTGGAGAACGAAACCTTCAATCATGGTCCGGTTCGGCTGAGTCATGGGTCAACACGCATGCTGTTCCTCTGAGTGATGGCTCACACGTTCTTTTTACGGACCCTCGAACTGAAACACTATGTTTGGGCGCAGACGCACCAAGAGGTTCCACCGCGCGATTCCAACGGAAGGCTCAGTTCAGCCCACCTGTCGGCGCTACCTCAGGTGCCCCAACTATGTACGCCGCGAGTACCGACCTCAGGCATGGCGTGCGTATTGTTGCTGTGTTTCCAGCAACACATACGACTGAAGAAGGCTCGCAGGAAGTCGAAAAACAACTTCTTGTCTGCTACACCATACCGCCTGACGTGTTCCGTGACATTAGCTTCTATGGCACATTGGAAGATCTCGACGGAGCAGTGGCGCAGTGGAGATGGTGGTGGCTCAAGTCGTCGATTCTGTCCATCGTCGCTGCAAACAATACGGTACATCCGACAGCGAGCTCTCTTGACAGCTTTTCCTCCCCAATCGATGTTCCTTGTCAACATGTGGATGTCTGCTCAGATATCACAGCTCTAGCGGTGGATTCCGGTCCCGACATGCTTATCTGGGCCTTCAGCGCCGAAGGTTTGGGGCGATGCTGGGCTCTCAATACCGGGAGGCAACCACGGATGACACGAGCTTCAGCACAAGCAGACGGTAGCTTGCGTGAGATTGACTGCGACGGAGACATCTTGATGCAGGACGTCGACTACTATGCTTAGCGAGTTGACAACACTTCATCTGCATCCGCGGCAGAGACTTTAACCGAAGTCGTCACTGTCTGCTCCGCACGACCTTCTTTGAACCGACCGCTGGGGAAGAAAGCAAGAGGAGAAGCTGGCGGGCACTGGAATCAACATTCAACTTGCAGAACACGCTTTAGAAGCCACACGGCTTGACATTGAGCCACGTTGAGGCTCGCCTTGGGTAGTGGAGAGAACACCTAAGAACTGTGTCTAAGTATTTACACAGGTATGTATTATTAATAGCATTCATAGCCAGGATCGAATCGTATAGTACTCTACCCCTACCTGAGAAACTTCTTTCACAACAAAGCTTCTATACAATTCAATTCTAGTATCCTGCCGGCTGTAACATCTGTCTATGTCTGTCGTCTATACACCCCAGCTATCGTGTAATCCTTCTTCGGCCCGTTCACCGTATATCCAATATTCCACTCCTTCAAATTCACACTCTGGAACGTGAAGTCATACTTCACATTATAGAAATCATCAATGCAAAGATGCCCAGCCTGCGCCTTCCATGCCCTGGCATCTTCTCCCTTCGGCGGCAAGAACTCAATCTCGTGGAAGAGGTAATCCGCCCTCTTCGCATCATCCGTCTTGACGAACCACACGCTGATGCAGTCCTTCTTCTCATCATGACGCCATATGTACCGCCGCGTAGCCCTGAACACCAGCCCGTTATCGGCGCGGAACTCTCCGTCTTCGATGTAGAGGTACTCCGTCGCCAACCCTTCATCCTGAGGATCCTCTCCTGGAGCAGAGCCCGACACGCACTTGAGCCCGTCGGCAGTCTTATCGCGCAGCAGGAACCGCGCGGTGCCGCTGAAGTGACCGCTGGGATGCGTCGCCAGACGGCTTGTGAGGGAGCGCTCGAGGGACCATGTGCCCAGCAGACTGCGGAAGACGGCCTTGGCGACGAAGCGCGGGGTGGTCAGCCCCGCGACGGCGGTGGCGTGGGTCTGCGCCAGCGAGGCGGCGGCTTCGGCCTCGGCGTCGGGGGAGGCGAGCGGGGAGAGGTAGCGCGCGGGGGTGAGGATATCCATTGGCTTATTGTTATGCGGCAGCTCAGGGGTCGCCGGGGTCGGGGCCGGGGAGATGGGGATGGAGAGGGCGGCGGCGAATTCCTGCATGAGGTAGGCGTAGTCGCCCATGGGGAACTGGGAGCAGCGGGGGTCGTCGCGGAGAGAGACTGTGCGCCAGTCGGAGGCGTCATCGAGCAGGGCGTTTGAGAGCGCGGGAGGGGCGGGGGAGGAGGTCCAGAGGGCGGCGAGGAGACGGGCTTGCATTTCCATCACGCCCCAGTAGGGGGAGCGGTAGAAGCCGACGAAGCCGAGGGTGGGCAGGTCTTTGAGGTGGGTGCCGTGAAAAGAGAGGGCGAGGGGGAGGGAGGGATGGTCGGGGGAGTGTTTAAGGGTCTCGAGGACGGGGGCGGGGAGGAAGGAGAGGCAGGGGGAGGGGTCGAAGCCGGTTGCGAGGATGACGGCGGCGATGTTCTCGATGGGGGAGGTTGTGGTTGTGGCGGTGGTGTTGGCGAGGGAGGTGAGTTTGCCGTTGGAGACTGTGATGAGACCGGAGCGGACGAACTCCATGTAGTTTTCTGAGACGGCGAGGTAGGCTGGCTCGGAGTGGTGGGAGGGCGTGACGGCGACGGAGGGGGAGAAAGAGGACTGGTCCTGACCGAGGGAGGTGGTGTAGATTGTGTGGGTTGTCTTTGCGGCCTCGGGGGTGATGTGGCCTTGGCTGTTTTGGAGGGGATGAGGGCGGTTGTTGAGGTTGTAAGAGGGGAAGTCCAGGGGGAGGAAGGGGGCTGCTGGAGAGCCGGGCTGGAATGTGTCAGTTGAGAGAGATGTGAGCGTGAGGAGAGATGGGGTACCTTGGGAGTCGTGTACAGCGGGAAGACCCAGGTGGGCCGCTGGACGAGGTGATGAACCGAAAGCTTGTCTGCGTTCGGAACTGGGACCGGATCGGGTGCGTTCACGGCGGCGGAGAGATGAGTCGCGATGGTGCCGGAGATCTCGACGCCGGACATCTGCCCCCCGACAACCAAGATCTTGCCGCCGTCTTTGACTCCATCGGGGAAGAGAGACTTCAAGTCGCGGTACTTGCTGCTGTGGATGACGGGAACATCCGTCTCACCCGCAACGTCCGGAACAATGGGCTTGCCAAAGAAGCCGGAGCTGACGAGCAGGTAGTCGAACACGCTGGTCTCCTCTTTGCCGGCGTCGGACTTGACGGTGACGGTCCACGTGCCGTCGCCAGCGAGATCCGTCTTCACAACGTGGTGGCCGAGCTTCACGTCGGCGCCCTTGTAGCGGTCCAGGTAGCGCTCGAGGTAGCGGCCGATCTGCCAGGCGCGGGGGAACTCGGGCTCATCAGGGTTCCAGGCGAGGTCGCTGAACTGGACGGTGTGGCGGCTCTGGTTGGCGACCATGAGCGGGTGGACGAGGCCGGAGGCGTCATCGCGGCGGGTGGGCCAGAGACCGCCGATGCGAGACTGGGCGTCGTAGATTGTGACGGTGAAGGCGCCGGCGGGGGTGTTGTGGAGGAGCGTCTTTGCGGCGACGAGGCCGGAGGGGCCGGCGCCTGACGGAGCATGTTAGAGTGCCGGGTCGGACTGGGGTACGGAAGAGGACGGGGGTTTTCGGGGGTATGTACCGACGATGCACACGCGCTTGGCCATTGCTTGAGATGGCAGGGGTTGTTGAGGAGGTGGTGGGATGAAAGGTGGGATGAGGAGTGAGTGCCCCTCACTTTTGAGGTATCCCTGTCGGCAGATGCAGGTGAGAGTGAGATGGGTTGTTGGAGGGTTAATATTGTCTGTTGAATTTAGTCATCACGTGAAGAGATAGCGAGTTAGATGCTCATCGGCTTTGAGCCAGCGAAGAAGTTCTCACGTCAGATGAGTCCGCCGAGAGCCCTCATGTCTTTCGGGGATTAGTGGGTTGGAGGGGCTTGTCGCCGACTGGGACCAGCGTTCAGATGAGTCAGCGATCTACATTGCATGCGGAACGGCGGGGATTCATCGGGACATGCCGGATAGATATTCCGTTCCGTGCCACTATCCGACAATCCCCGGACCTCCACTTCACTTCCGGGCCATCAAGTCCTTGGCGGCCCGAAGCATTTCGCTCCACTCGGAACTGACAAATCAGAGATATCTGTGTCCGAGAGCATTTAGTTTTTGCTAGTCACAAAGGACTCCATGCGAAGAGAAAAGGGGTCTTGGCTTTCAAGAAGACATGACGGAACCCCGCTCAAACACATAGAAAGATATCATGAGACTTTTCCCTCAAATAAATGTGGCAAAGTTGTGAAGCCCCAGCCTCTGTAACTGTTAGACAGTATCTTAGCTTTCAGTAATCACGACAAAGGTCCAAAGAGTGACGACTTTGTAATGGTCTACGTAGAGAAAATTCTCAATGTCGGTGCATTCTTGTACTCATCCGCAGGATGAGATCAAATTCAGACACAAACTAATGTCTACAATAACCCTTAATCCTCGGCTCTGCGCCGTTCGGAGGAGAATCTGTCCGTATACGCGCACTTCCAAGACCCCACACAGTCTACTTGTTGCTAGTCATGGCCGTGTTCATCACTGGTGAGCTTGAAATTACAAGTAAACTTCCTACGTCAGCGATAAAGACTGCTGGCCTACAGGAGTAACACTTGCAAGTTCACAGTCAGCTGGGTTGACTGAGTACTAAGACTTAGAGATTCCCATACACGAGAAGAGAATATATTGGTCAATGATCTCTCTTTCTTTTGCATATTTCAAGATCATCACAGGATAGTGTACATAAGGATGTTGCCGGGTTAGAAGGTCCGTCTCGGCTACGAACACGACCACCCTATGGCGGACCTGTATTAGTGCCAGCAACTCCAGCTCTGGTGGTTCCAAGATGGCTTTGATCAGTTCGGATTGGCCGGCAATCGTACATCGTACTCAATAGAGGATAATATCGATCAACGGAACCACAAATTAAACTCTTCGGTCTCGCTTTACCCTTGATAGACATCGGTAACGACTTGCACTTACTAGTTGTAAAGCCTGTTAGAGAATGAACATATATGATAAGCTGATTCTTCTCGACGTTGATCGATTCTCTCCATCATCACACCTCACATCTTCATTACTAACGTCCCACACCCACTTCTCGGCCACCCCCACATTTCGGCCACTCACTTTTGATGCCCTCACATTTATACACATCAACTTCAACTAAAATTTATATGTATTATGATGCCACGACGATGCAACTTTCGCTGTCACTAGGGTTTTCTGACTCGCTGGATTCATCTGTGCTACTTTCAAGTTCGCCCGCCTCGATTCGAGCCCTCCGAATAGCCTCAATATCGGCAAACTTCGAATTTGGGCTCATCTTAACCTTCTTCCGTTTCCTGGCCCTACTGGCATCAACCTCTGCCTGTAGTGCCTCAATCTTTCGTTGGGCTACTGCCAGTTGGTATGCCTTCTCATCAAAGCCCTTCTGAACCTTCCGAAAAAGCAGGCGCTGCGTATGCTCATCGTTATCCAGCTTGCTGAATAGGCTGAACTGATCCTGAAGCTCATCCCTCTTCTGAGGGGTTGACCAAGGGACTGCTGATGTATCTACCGCCCACTTTTCGCTTGTTTTACCATCAGAGAGCCCTTTGCAGACCTGACCAGCTGGTTTAGCAGGGGTTGATGTGTTCTCAAGCAGCAGAGGGCTCATGAGGGGTCTAGCCATACTGACAGGCCACAAACCAGTCCATTTCCAGCCACTGATGATGTTCTTGCTTGTCAGGGCTGCCTTACGCGCCTTACCATAGCATACAACGAAATTTCTCTTGCCCAAAACTGTACCAGCATCCCATTCAGCTAGTAATCCAAGCTCCTTCTTGTATGCTGCCTTGAGGGGCCCAAAACCCGACTGATCAAGTGGCTGAAGGACGTGTGACGTGTGTGCTGGCAAGAACAGCAAGTGTATCTTGTTCCTGAAGCATGTATACATAAAAGCAGTAGTCTCATGGCTTCTATGACCATCCAAGATCAATAATCTGACCTCTGAGGGGTCCCCTGGCTGGGTTGAAGGGATGAAGACCTCTGTTAACCACTTAACAGCTGTAGAGTCTGAAGTCCACCCGTTTTCTGTAGCTGTGAACTTCCAGGATTCGTATGGCGTCAGATCTAGAGGAAACCACTGCTGCTGGACATTCTTGCCCTTATATATAACAAGTGGAGGCAGTGCCTTGCCAGTTGCAGAGATACACTCGATCAGAGATGTCCAAGCACGCGATCCAGGCTGTTTCTTGCGGATAGAACGAGTTTCTGATGATCCAAGAACAAGCCCATTTGATCCTCTGCCTTCTAGAATACCAGTCTCATCCATATTGTATCGATTAGAGGCCTCGATGGCTATGATCTCAGGTATGGCGAGGTGCTTAAACCATTGCCTGATTACATTAGTTGAAGCTCCATTGATACGCTGGGAATCGATTGCTCTGCTTCTTTGGACCCTTACAGATGGGTTTCTCTTAATAAAAGACTGCACCCAGTTCTTTCCAAGAGGCTGGGAGTCTCCATGGACCTGTAGGATGCGTTCAGCAAAGTCCTTGAGTTGTTGATGGGTTGGAGGCAGGCCTAGGGCAGCCTGAATTCGAACCCATTCAGCCAGGTGGCTTTCCTGGGTTGGAGAAAGCCTTTGCAGATCAGAAAAGGCAATATCTCTTGCCTGGGTGCCATGGATTCGAGATTGGAGAGTTGTTCTTGGAACACCATACTGTAATGAAGCTTTTCGTAGGCTAGCACCAGCTGCGATAGCCTCAAGTGCCCGAGAAATTTCATCTTCTGTATACTGACGCATTCGGTAGTTATTATGCTTCACAGAAAGAATGGTGATGATTGAGTGAAAATTGGTAAATCTATTCAAGTTTGAAAATGGCGGTGAGTATTTTCAATGAGGCATTTTAGGGTGGCCGAAATGTGGGGGTGGCCGAGAAGTGGGTGTGGGACGTTATCTTTAACATTTTGAAAACACGACCGGCGGAAGTCTGTCCCTTACTTACGATGAAGCTCGCCATACTCTCTCTGCTGCCTGTCCTGGCGAATGCTGCTGTAATGCAGTGTGACCACGGCTATGAAGGCAATGGAGATTGTGAAAGTCAAGGGTTGCACACATTTTGTGTGAGTCTGTAACAATTCCAAATCAAGTTCTGCTGCTGACGTCAGTAGTGCCACGATACATACGCGCCCCCAGAATTCACGGTACCCAGAGATGTCAGCATCAAATCCAAGGACCCTTGGGGCGCCAACATCTGTAGAAGGGCTGGTACCGTCGTGATTGGAAACATTTACTGCGCATAAGGGACTTATCGCATTAGATTGGGACGAGCAGCGGTCGGCTGACATGGTGATTCTGGAAAGGACGAACCATGCCTGCATACTCCTAATTCACAAGCGCGTGCTTTCCAAACAAATGTTTTAATATGATAGGGCAAAAGCCTCCAAATTTATTCAGCACTCTTGTATTGCAGACTCCGCCATTTGATCGCGGGTTGACGAAGATGTTGCCCTGTTTGAACAGTCTTGTCGAAGTTTACACCCTGAAAACCTTAGGCCCGCCATTCGCCGAGACCCTGCCTATTTCAACAATCCCGCAGAAGCTGATGCTCCTCGTAATGGAATGGGGAAGGTGAAGTGTCATCTTCAAATCAGTGTCGCAAAGGATAGCAATCATATCCGGACCATCTGCATAGTTTGGAGGGTAAAAAGTTACTAACTTACTATTCGGGCATATGATGGTCTTGGATAAAGGTGACGACGACAACAACAATGATACGAAATGATACCGCTACTAACGGCGAAGAAAGCGTCAGACAGTTCCCATGGATTTCATCTGTAGCCATGACGTGTGTGACGATGAATGGAAGGCTGGTGCATGCTGCAACACCTGTCTTGTCTGTTTCGATATCTTAGTTTGGGAGCCCGGGACGGGCCGGCTTCAAACCCCGGGCTACGGTGCACCATTGCCGCATCCGACCCTCAAAGCGACCCAGATATATCGTAGCACGAGACTTCACAGCTGCTAGATGTGACGAGAGAACCCCATTTGTGCAGACTAATACTCTACATTATCCATTCGGAATCCTGGATACCTACGTCGTTCACCTGGCAAGTGGTTGATAGCCACTCATTCCAGGGCACTTCGCCATTGAGAGTCTCGTCTACCTGATCCCAAAGAGCATACCCGTCATCCTGGCACATTTCTTGCCAGATCAAGTCTAACTCCTTTTCTAATTCGGGGGTTTCCGAGGAGCTTTCTTTGTAGCTTTCTGCCGGGTTCAGGTTGTCGTTCGTACACAGTTCATCGCTCGTCTTAGGCATCGCTGTTGTGTTCATTGAAGTCGCGACCGGCGGCATGTTAAAATTTGCAGACCCTAGTGCATCTCCGACTTGCTCTTCTCTACACTGCCTAGCGAAATGCGCCGGCGTCACGCCAGTGGCCTCTTTGAAAACCCCGTGAAAGTATCGGTACGACAGCCCAACCAGCTTCGCGGTTTCTGCCGGAGTGACCGCCCCATTACGTTCTCGTATGATGCCGCACGCTCGCTGGACCACGTCCAGGTTGCGCCTTTCGGGGGTTGCCGAGTCGGGTTTACAGCGCTTGCAGGGCCTGAAGCCTGCACGGACGGCGTCATCAGCGGCGTCGAAGAAGACCACATTGGCTCGGCGAGCGAGGCGTGCTGGGCAAGTTGGACGACAGAAAATGCGAGTGGTGAGGACCCCGTAAATAAATGATGCGTGGGCGGCGGGTGTTCTGTTGCAGAGAGCTTGCCAGCGTGTCTTGTCAGTTGTGAAGGCCATGATAGAGGCAGGCTTTGTGTGATGGTCGAGGCAGGGCGAAGGTATTGGTGGAAAGTCAACGACAGACATTAGGGGCGTGGACGCTCTTTATGGTTTCACAGGGGCTGAGTCAGTGCTGTGGAGAGATGGCCTGGGCTCTAATATTGCGCTAGTAATATCGGCCTACAACCGTCCAACTTGATATGATGTTCAATCCAATCACTCATGAAGATACTTGATCTCCTTGCCCGAATTAGGTCCCTGAATAAGTCCCAACTGCTGAAGAGCCGTCAAAGCCCCTTCTTCTCCCGTCTCGTCCACAATCTTGCCGTCTTTCAGAGTGAAGATTGTGGTACCTGAGAAGTACATCTTCTTGCCCGTGTTAGGCTGGTCCAGCGCACCGACCGCCAGGTCATGAAAAGCCACACCAGTGTGCGTTCCTCCACCAATCCATCGGCCGACGACGTACGGACCACTGGCGATGAGAGGGTGTTGGTAGGCATGGAACGAGACGTCGGGAAATGCCTGTTACCCAGAGTATCAGAACCAGAGCTTTTGAACGGGAGGCTTTTGGAAAACAAAAAAACACCTCTTTGAACTCCCGAAGCATCTTCTTCGCTGCTTCCTTCCCGTATCGTGGACCATGCATGGGGTAGTTGATGACAAAGTTGTCCGCGCAGAGCTTGTCCACGATGTCTGCATTGCCTTTGCCCCAGTACTCTGCAAAGTACTCAGCAATGACATTCATGTTGGTCTGCTCGTCTTCGGTAGGCATGGTGGGCGATTGCAAGATGGTATGCCGTGTAGTTTGTAACTATTTGAAGAATCTGTCTCTGCTTCGAGCCATCGTAGAGGGGCCTTCTTATACCCTCTTTCATCTATTCACGTATGCGACTATTTTTTCTCATCTAATCCCGAACTTCATCGCCATGGCATTGTCAATCCTCATTGTGGGCTCAATTTTGGACCGCGATGTTGACGAACCCTTCCGTTGGCCAATTCAAAAGCAAACTGCTTTCAAAGTGACCAATCAGGCGACTGCGACCCGGGTCCGAGAGTATCGGATTCTTGCGAGTCACAGAAGCCTTGCAAGAACTCGGGCCAAGTCTAGGCAATCGTTGGCCAATTTGACAGCATGTGGGGAACCTCTGTTGATCTTCAGTCCACTGTTCTGTGTCATTGTCATGCACGGGGCTGGGAGTGACGGCATCAAGCAACGAAAATGTTCCCTGCGATATGACAAGTGGTTTCCGAGGCTATCGTGTTCCAATAGCTACTTTGAATATAAAGATGTCTGCAGACTGGAGAGAAAGCCGCGGCCAGAAGCCGTGTGTGTTATCAATCGACTATCAATTGCCTGTTCACAAGTATTTTTCAAAACAAGCCATCCATCATGTCCACCGCTACTACTACTACCACCACTATCGTGTACAAGGGTTCCGCCAACGGAAAGGTTGTTGAACATCAGGTTTCAACACACAAGGATATCTTGAAACCTGATCAAGTCTTTGTCAAAATTACCCACTCCGGGCTATGTGGTACGGATGAACATTACAAGACCCAGGACATGGTCCTCGGCCACGAGGGGGTCGGCGTGGTCGAAAGAGTAGGCGGAGCAGTCAAAGATCTGAAAATGTAAGTGGTCATCAAAAGCTTTCGGGAATAAAGTTCTGGTGCTGACTGTCGTTGCAGTGGCGACCGTGTTGGATGGGGCTACTGCCATGGAAGCTGCGCAGCATGCCATTATTGCCGGAACGGAGAGCATGTCTACTGCGACCAGCGCCAGCTGTATGGCATGTCGAACCTGGACCAAGGCTCCTTTGCATCTCACGCTATAAGGAACCAGTCGGTTCTATTCAAGGTCCCGGACGCTATCTCGTCTGCACAGGCAGCTCCGTTGATGTGTGCCGGCGCGGCTGTGTATTCTGCACTTAAAGCTGCCAAGATCCATAATGGTTCTCGGGTAGGTGTCCTGGGAGTCGGCGGCCTCGGCCACCTGGCCATCCAGTTCGCCGAACAAATGGGTGGCCATGTGGTGGCAATGTCCCACTCCCCGGGCAAGGAGGTCGACTCTCGGAGATTCGGCGCCTCTGAGTTCATCTGTCTGAGCGGGGCGAAGTGCGGCAGCAACCCCGAAGGGCTGAAGCTGCTGGATGTCATCATGCTTGCTGGTTCCCAACAGCCGGACTGGAAGGCTATTATTCCGATGCTTCGGCGAGGTGGAGCCATTTTCGCAATGACGGTTGACCCAGAGGATTTGAAAGTCTCGTACATGGATCTGGTAATGAATGCGATTTCGGTTCGCGGTAGTCTGCCGTGCTCGCCTCCTTTGCACCAGGAAATGTTGGAGTTTGCGGCAGCACACAAGGTGCTTCCTGTCATAGAGTCTTTTGCTTTCACGGAAAAAGGGATCAACGAGGCCATGGAAAAGCTTCGAAATGGGAAAATGCGGTACCGGGGAGTCGTGTCCCGGGATTAGTGGAGCTGACCGGAGGGGATTGCCGATTCTGGAAATGAATTGATATCATATTGAACGTTGGCGACAAAACCGCAACCGGTACGCCACTCGACCCCTTTTCATCATATCACGCCTCAGCTGTGCAACATGTCGTGGCTTCTAACATCCGACCACTTAATGACCGCCTTGTGGGCACAAGGTTTCCTGGGATGAAGGACTATTATCACGTGGAACCAAAGCTATGATTACATTGAGGCTTTAGCCTTTGCAGGTTTGCAATTGACGAGGCGATGGGAAGGCTTCGTGGCGGGACATACAGATGTTCTGAAGCTCCCTTCCAAAGTTGGCCGGAAGGACATCCAAAGACTGAAGCTATCTAATGGCCGTTCGTCATCTGAGTCTGCTGCAACTAGATTACAACTCCCATGAAGTCAAGCGGCTGCCGCCTCTGGGCAGCCTCCCTGTGACGGATTGCCCAGCCAAATGCGAACAGACGTGGCTGAATGACCACACCATCACCACTTTCGGGCGCTTTCGGAATGTGGAGATTCACTCTGTTCTGTTGGCATTGAGCCGATCGTCCACGTCAGTAAGATGGCGTCAGCCTCGAGGGGGCTAGATCGCAACAGCACAACCGCCAGATAAGTACAATCGCGAACCTATAAGGGTTCTTGGTCGATAGGCAGACTTGCAGTGCTCAAACTGCGCGAAATTGACAAGGCGTTGACCCATGGAGACTGGCGAAGGGTGGAACAGCTTTAAAGGCTCGAAACATGGCCAGCTTGAACAATGATGAGAGTGCAAACTAAGCTTGGGTACCGAAGTTCGGAAGCTGTTGGTAGATTGTCACATGGTAAAGGACAATTTGCAAAAACGTTGTCCCCTTAGGCTCGCTTATGACCCCACGATTTGAAAGTGACGACCACGTGAATGGTAAGCCGCGCTACCTTGACGGGTGCGCCCGCATTCTCCTTTTCAATTACCTCCGCCAACATTACCGGATGAAGTTAGAAGTTATTGTGTACCGACATGTTTGGATTTTATGGAAAATTACTTCACACAGGGCGATCTGCACTTGAAAATTTACCTGATGAAAGTGCCGATTGTCCGTCCAGGTAATATGACCCAAGGACGTCTCAGGAACTCGTGTTGTATAAGATCGAGCGTGTAGGGCGTAAGTTATTATATCAATCTGCGTTAAGTTCAAGCCGTCACAAGTTGTCACCATGAGCCGCATGATGTTGGTCGGTCGGTCGGTCGAAACCTGTCTGGCCGTGCACATGACATCGTGTAGCCCTCACTGGGAATGAATTCTATAAGAATACTGCCATTCCATAGTCAGGTCATGGATTCCTGCCCTGAAAGTTGCTCATCTTAATCCCGACGATGTCGAATATCGCGTCTAGTATCCACAAAGATACTGGTCGCGCAACTCTGTGACCGTTCAATCACCGGTGATTGAGTGTGTAGTCCCAACGAAATGGACATCAACCTGGTCTGGGACCCGGCACGCGGCGTCAACTTCCAAGAGTATGAGGGCGACAAAGCTACGGCCACAAATGCCGCCAAAGCTGCCAAAGCTACAGGCGCCAATGCTGCGGCCGACAAGGATGCAAGCGAAAAGGCCACTGCAAGACATGTGTCGGACGCCGGCTTTCTTTCCTATCCCGATGAGGGTCTGAGCGAAGCGGAGCGGGCCGCGGTAATGAGTTTTGCTACGCTCGTGTGCCTCCAATCAATTGACGGGAGTTTAGGAACGTAGATTGCTGCGACGTCTTGACTGGAAGCTCATCCCATGGGTAGAGACTCTCCCCACAGAGAAAACGCAATGGCTTACACATTTTTGAGCTATGTATTCTCTACCTCCTTGCTTTTCTCGACCGCACAAACATCGGAAACGCAAAGATCGCGGGGATGAACAAAGACCTGGAGCTCAGTGACGGACAATACAATGCCGCTCTAGCCATCTTCTTTGTCTCTTACTCAATATTTGAGCCGTTGACGAATATCTTACTCAAGAAGCACAGGCCATCTGTTTTCATTCCGGTTACGATGTATGTCAGAGACTACCAGCAACACGTCATATCCTTTCTGTATACACTGACAAGGCAGGATGTTTTGGGGAACCTGCATGACCCTCATGGGATTTGTGTACAATTGGAGTGGACTAATGGCGGGACGGTGGTTTCTAGGACTCACTGAGGCCGGGATGTTCCCTGGGGTGAACTACTATCTTTCGTGCTGGTATCGTCGAGATGAATTCGGTCTCCGAGCTGTAAGGTTCGTTATTCCTTTTGACCCCTCTCTGCTAACACGCAAAGGCCATTTTTTTCTCAGCAGCCGCGCTTTCCGGATCGTTCGGTGGTGCGCTCGCGGCGGGAATCCAACATATGGACGGAGTTGGCAACCTCCGCGGATGGTCTTGGATTTTCATTATCGAGGGCCTTCTGACCTTCGTCTTCGGAATCGCATCTTTCTGGATGGTTCATGACTTTCCGGATGAGGCCGAGTTCTTATCCGATGAGGACAAACAGCGTCTCCTTGGCCGTTTGGATAGAGACCAGCAAGCCTCCGCCCGTCGCGAAGTCTTCAAGACTTTGTACTTTTGGCAGGCCATGCGCGATTGGAAGACGTGGATGTCGATGGCGATTTACATGGGCTGCGACATGCCTCTGTTCGCAGTCACCCTCTTTCTGCCGACGATCATCGACGACCTTGGCTTGAACACTAGCACGATTCAATCTCAACTCTGGACGGTGCCCCCATACGCCGCCGCCGCGGTGTTTACGGTCTTCATGGGGTGGCTAGCCGACAAGTTCAAGGTGCGTGGTATCTGCAACGTCTGCGTGAGCATGGTCGGTATAGCCGGCTTTTCAATGATCCTTGCGGCGGATAGCCCTAAGATCAAGTACATCGGCACTTGTCTGGGGGTGATGGGTCTGTACCCGTGCGTCAGCAACACCATTACCTGGATCGCGAACAACACCCAGGGAGTGTACAAGCGTGGCGTGGTATTGGGGTTTGTCATTGGGTGGGGAAATCTCAGCGGTGTCCTCAGCTCATTCACTTACCGCAACCCCCCGTTGTTTATTGAGGGTCATGCCATAGTCATAGCGTTTATGGCCCTCTGTCTTTGTGCGGGGAGTCTGACGATGATGGCACTACTCAGTAGAGAGAACCGGAAACGCGTGCAAGGCAAGAGAGACTGCTGGTTGGATGGAAAAACGCCTGAGGAGATCGCTGAACTGGGAGACAACAAGCCGTGTTTCCACTACACTGTTTGAGAAGTCTGTTGCGCGTCTGATGAGATCCGGTTTCTCTGTACGGATCAGAATTTGATGCCCGGATTCGCGCACATCGGTGCTCTCGAATACGATTCAGCAATCATTGAACACAACGCGAGAAGACAAGAAGGAAACACGAGGAGGACATACGGCGTTGGTGAGGATAGTATGGGCAGTATGGCAAGAGCAGCGGCGACGAGCCTCACTCGCTTGGGGAATTTCGTTGGAGGCACTGGTTTCAACATCCACAGTGTCTGGTTCAGAAGTGTCTGCAAGACTTCAGATTCAGGGGAGATTTTGGAAATGGTGTTTGGAAGGTAACAATTCCCTAGGGGCCAATGAATCTAACCCTTTCGCCACTCTTGCATCTCTCGTTTTCTGACCTTTTCCAGCCAGTCTCTACATACTGTCGACCAGCGCCCCGTAAGTGATTCATCGCATTGATTTGCGTTCATTGATGAAATTTGAAGCAGGTCCAAATTGACTTCGGGACACGTTGATTTCAGGCGGTAGGCGAATTCAACTCCACTTGAAACGAAGGCATATCCAACCCCGGGCATTCCTGCTACTTACCATGGAGATTTGTTCCAATTCGGCAGCGACCTTTCTGCTAATTCGAGCGATGTCTGCGTGAGGCATTGCCCGTCGGGCTAAGGCAGCCTTACGGGCGTTGCTGACATCGCGGATACCCCTTGACGCTGAACAGGATTCTGAAGAGGTCGAGAGAGAGGGATCGCTGACGGCGTCTGAACCATGTCCTAAATTCCCAGTCCGATGTTGCGCCCCCGCCGATGACCACAAATGCTCGGCCCAAAGATGTCAGACCAGCAGAAGCGAGAGTTGAACCACCCCTGGAGACGACAAGGAAGATAGCAATCAGAAGGTTGAGAATGGAGGACGTTTTGTCGGCTTACTCCAGCTCCTTGCCCATCTCTACCACATTATCCATAAAGTCGACCGAGTCGCGTGTGAGCAGGATTGACATGCTGACCGAGTCAACGATATCGAGGTCAGCCTCCCATGACATGGCCTGTATCTCAAACAGCGAAGCCGAAAGCTGGTCAATCAGAGGCTTTGCATCGCCGAGGGCCTTGTTGAGAATCATCCTCGGGTTGGTGACGTCGTCCGTGTGGAATCCCTCGACTTGAGGCACGTTGAACCAAACGTTAGGGTATTAGTATGAGGCTGTCATATGCTCTATGTCATTATAGACGGCATCTCTGGAGGATGACGAGTCCAACGTGCCAACCGACTGTAAATTGGCAATGTTCATCTTTTCCCTAGGGACGCCGACTTCTGCAGCAGCCGTGTCCCAAAAATCGCCCTCTTTGTCGCTGCAGAGTCCAATATATCGTATTTTTGTTGTTACTATTCATACTTCGGAACGAATTGTCAGGGGGACATGGCTGAGTGGTGTTTATGTAGCGGCGGAGGTTATCATAAGGTCCCTGGACATCGCAAGAATCCTTGCACCACTAGCACGATACGCCCTCTGCTTTGCATACGTTGCAACAGGTTGTCTCCTCGGTGATCTTGCAAGTGAAGTATTCGTCGCCGTGTTTGCACATGAAGTTGCGGAGGGCGGACCATGCATTGCTGACGAGATAGTCTGCGTAAATCGTGAAAATACTTGTCGTAGCCGCTGGCCATGATTTCGTCATAGCGAGCCATCGAGTCTCGGAGAATCTGGAGTAGCATCGTAATCGTGTATTGTTGCCCACACCAGAGTTCTATCAGTCCTGCATTTCCTTCGAGCTGCTCAATGGCTGTATACCTGGAGGCATCCGGACAGGTTGGAAGGGGGTTATCATCCTTGGGATTTGGGGCGTAAGGGGTGTGGTCGCCACCCGAACCGCCGCTTGTGTCGTCATCTTCCTCAGATCCCGGCTGGACTGGAAGATTTGGGTTGGTAACAAGCCCGTCGTCGCCTGTCTGGTCAGTCAAGCCGCAGGACGGATTGAGCGACGTTCTCCCCTTATTATTGAACGACTCCAAGATGTAGTGCTCATCAGCGTGGTCATTCCCATCAAGGTCGGCGTAGTGGATGCATGCCCCAGCGGCGAGGCCGTAATAGGCCTTTTTCTCTTGAACTCTCCAGTAAAAAGAAGAGTCACCACCGGTGTGTCTGGGGAGCCGTGGCCTCCGTTGTACCTTGTCACTTTTAACATCTGCGCATCGGAGAATGGGCCGGTCCTTTCCGATCGCAAACTTGATCTGGCCAACATCGACAAAAACGCCGCTGTCTTGTTGAAGGCTGCCACTGACGGTGCCATCGGGTGCGATGCATAAGTAATCAGCGCGATTGTTCTCAGTAAAATCGGCAAAGTGGACAGCCACTTTCATATCCAGTTATTGCAGTTCATCGGCAATAGTAGCAGTTCAGCCAGCAAGATTAATTATTGCTGAAAACGGGTAACCTGCTTTGCCAATCAGGGGTGACTCACAATCGAAGACACCTAGACCTTTCTTATACCCACAAGTCAGACCGGGAGCTGGGTTTGTCAAATGAGTCCATCCCCAACTGCCAGTCTGTGGATATTGATTGAGGAAGTCCTCCACGGCATTGGTCTCAGAGTTGACATAGATGTTATCACAGTCGCCATCCCCGTCACAGTCCTGCAGGTGCAGATCCTGACGGTCCATGCTCCGTGGTGGTCGAAATATAATGCAAGGGCTTGGATCCCAATATCTCTCTGCGTCCGTGTCATCGATAGTGCCCTTGCCACGGTTGGTGAAGAGGGTCATTTCTCCTGTTGACTGCGCCCGCACATGATCGACTCGTCCATCGCGATGGCCCACCATGTTGTAGTACTTGTCGCCGTCAGCCACAGTCTTGCTGCCACCTCCGCCAATATTCTTCCACACTCGCATTTCAAAGCGTTGCTTATCCTCCGCCAATTTGGTGTGCTCCAAATACATGTAGTCCTGCAGCGGTAGGTTTCCGAAGACATTGCTTTGGCCTTAGATGCGTGCAAAGTGGATTCGGGTACGGAGGTTAGCACCCCCCCATGCCCATATGCGATTGGGCCGGAGGATGCGCCGTTGTAAAACGCCTGGCGCCATGCGACGTTGAGTCCATCCCCAACGTACCCCTTTCTGCAACTCCTGGAGTTGGTCCAGGTGTACGTTTTGCCTCCATCATCCACCACATGGCATCGTCTCTACCTTGTTGCGCCATCCTAATCAGTCTCACGAGTTACTTTGTGACAAGGATGACTTACATCTCCATTGTGTCCTCAAACCGAATACCAGCGAGCTTCCCAGTCCCGTGTTGGAAAATCGTCGGCCCAAGTCCTGCCAGTCCTGGGACATATCGTTGACCCAACCGTTCCGCCAGAAGCGCACATTTCTCATGGCATCAATCGCCCCATAATCCCCTATGTTTCTTTTAGCTTACCTCAAGCATTATTCAGACAAGATTCACTTACCTCGGCCGTCCCCATCAATGTCGGCCATGACGATGTGATCCCGAACAACGCCTTCGTTGCTCTTTATCTTGGCGACGAACTGAAACGTTGGAGACTTGCCGTCAGCGCGATTTCCATTCCCTTTGTTTACGGACAGATATGCATCTTCATTGGCTGTAATGCCGACGAAATCATCCAAGCCATCGGCATTGTCGATAAAGTGGATGCCCCGCGGATCACAGCAGTGATTGGGGTTGATGTCTTTGATCTTGGTAACTGAGTCCTGACCATCCGCAGAGTTGGCCCTTTGGTAAACAGTTAGTGGAAGAAGACGTAAGAGCCTGCCGACTGGAACCTGGAGGCAGCAGGGTTAACTGAACTTACCAAGCACCGAAATAATTGATATTACTGCCTTCGTTAAACCATCCGAGGATATCATCGTAGTTCCGATTGAACAAGCGGGCAAAATGCCACTGGTTCCTATCGAAGTCAATGTCCCAATTCCAGCGAATCTGCGACTTCAACCGTCAGCGAATGCTAGGTAACCAAATAATTTACTTAAATCTTTCTTTTCACTATTGTGGTAGTATATACGGTTGCGGCTTCTGCGCTGAGTAAACCCGCCAACGTCCATTCCATTACGCTCGAACTTGTCGCAAATGGTCGGGCCACTGTTCATCTCGCCAGGTTCAACGAGGTTCCCAGCATCTGCAGGCTTGTTGATGGCTCTGTAGAAGATGTAGCCCATGTTGATGAAACCATTGTCCTACGAGTTCATAAGATGTCAGCTCAAACTCAAGAATGCGACTTTCAACCCATAGACTCACATTCTGGTGAACCTTGATGACCTCGTCCTGGTTGCAGTCGTCCCAGGTCTTGATCCATCCGCTGGCTGGATGTGGAGCTGACGGATCCATGTTCGCCGGCGGTCTCAGCAGTAGATCTTCCTCTCTCTAGACCCATCACATTACATGTGCACACTCGCATATGAGATAGTGGCATTAAATATTGAAATAACTGCGCGCACTTCGATCCTGTCGTCGGCCACGGGCAGGCTTGAAATTGGTTCAGCTGCCACTAGATTGAGAGCATCGTGTTTTCGTCAAGAAATCGAAACCTTGCATCAAACGATCCAGTTCGTATCGACTCATTTGCCTTGTTCACATAGATACTACACACATAGTAATGCCTTGGCTGAGCAACAGGAGCATCGTGGCCACACCTCCTCTATTGCGATTGCAAGCAGATCACTAGAGCGCCGTGTTCTAGAAACAGTCCAGCCGCAACAGCCTGGGCTTGGCGCAAACGGCCTAGACGACGGCCATGTCGTGTTGCCTAGGTATGAAAGAGTCTGCCGTGATGGCAAAGTTCCTCGACATAGGGGTTTTCTGAGTGCGTATGTCTTGGGAAACCCATCCTTTCGGGGGAGGGGGCCCATTTTGCATGCGGTCCAAATCACAACCCACGCGGGACGTTGGCGCGGCCCGTAGCGGGCGGTTCAGCCCGCCACACTCCTCTCAACCACCAAGCTCGGCATGCGATTCCACCCAACTAGCATGTTTTGGGACACATCCGGCGCTTGTTGGGTGCATCTCTTACTTCAGCCGTGGGATCGGAACTTAGGTCCGGTGCTAGGGACTCAAGGCATGGCCTGGCCAGACCCTGTTGTCACAGCTCTGCCACCTTCCAGTCCAATCATGATGCAAATGAAAGTCAGCGTGCTCCAAGATATCCTTCTAGATGTCTCAGCCTTTTTACCCGTTTTCATCTATTTTGTCCCAGCGGCCGGTTCTCAGGGAAGGCTCTGCCCGATTGGTCATTGATTTGATGGCTTAATACCTCACAAGCGGACGCTCAAGGGCTACCTGTCGGTTGAAGTGCCGAGAACATCACACAAGCTTAATCAAGTGTGTGATTGAGGCGCATTTGGTGAAGATCTTGGAAGAAGGAATAGGCGGATTAGAGCCTTCTGGACTGATGAAACCGTGAAAACCCCAAACTTCAGAGCCCAGATCGATAAGCCGGTTTGCCCTAGGCATCTTCGCCCGAGATAGATTTTTCTTCGAGATGTACCGAGAATGAACTGGATCATCTATGGCTAGCTGTTCGACACGCCACGGCGGCCTTAGCCTTCCAAGTCCCCTTAGGTGAATGAGGGTGACTTGACCCACGCAGCCAGATCTGCAAGTATTTTGGCTGCTGGTGTCAAACTGCACCTCAACGTGCTAGGTTTGAGTACCCGCCGGTTTCGACTTTTACCGCAACGCACGCTTGGCCATTCGATCTCTAGATGGGAAACGCATATGGACATGGTTGAATATACGGAGAAGAATACATCGTGTATTTAAGTGCCCTCTGCCGCACCTTTGTAGAATAATAATAAGCCAGCTTCTACCAGCAGCCTTCTGTTCAGCTACCACTTATTATCAAATCTGAACTTCAGAAAATCTTTCCATCATGTCCACTCAAACCATTACCTCAACCACCGAAGATGGAGCATCGGTCACTACTGACCAGCTTCCACAAGACCTCATCAACGCGATGCAAACCCTGTTCGGCAAGCACCAAGGTTACCGCACTAGTATGTAGATCTATCCACCTGACGAATTTCTAGCCTGACCATTTCCTTCTTCATAGCCCATGCCAAGGGTCTTCTTGTCGAAGGAGTTTTCAAGCCCACGGAGGAGGCAAAGACTCTTTCGACAGCAGCCCATTTCAACAATCCCTCAACTCCAGTCATCGCTCGCTTTTCGGTCGGCGGGGGCCTGCCTAAGATCGCCGACTTCGATCCTAGAGCCACTCCCAAAGGTATTGCGGTTCGATTCCAGGTCGACGAGAACATGCACACCGACCTGATCTCCCATTCATTCAATGGCTTCGCTGTCAGGACCGGAGAAGACTTTTTGGCTTTTCTTAAGGTCTTCACAGCCTTCGGTATTACCAAGGACGCCCTTGAAAAAGCGCAGAAGAAGGGCGGAGATACCTCCAAGGAACAGGCAGCGTTCAACCAAGCTCAGCAGATATTCGGCGCATTTCTCGCCATCCATCCATCCGCTGCCCAATTCGTCAAAGGAGCGAAGCCAAACCCCTACAACTATGGTACCTTGAAGTACTACGAAGTTAATACTCACGTCCTCACCAACGCCGATGGCAAAGTCAGCAACGTCCGTTATAAACTGGAGCCCGCAGACGGAGAGCATCTTTACACCGACGACGAATTGAAGAACCTGGCGCCTAGCTACCTAGAGGAGGATCTTCAGCAAAGATTTCCGGAGAAGCCCATCACCTTCAACATCATGGCCCATATTGCGGACCCTAGCGATGTCTTGGATGACGCCACGGTGCCATACAAGAGCACAACATTTGTCCCGGTTGGGACGCTGGAGATCAACAAGGTCTGTGATGACAACGTTGAGAGGCAGCAGCAGATTGCGTTCAGCCCCACTCCAGAGAAGGGCGGTATTCAAGGCATCATGTCTTCCCAGGATCCTCTCATTCAAGTCCGCAAGGGAGTGTACTGGATCAGCGCTGACCAGCGCAGACATGAGAAGCAAACCGAGACTACGGAGTTTGAAGAGGAAAGTTAGTTACTGTATGGGTCTATATTCAGCCACCACCTTGTAGTTTATTCTCCGGGCAGAATTAAACAAGAACCAGATTCAAGAAGATGAACAACTCCGAAGACATAAGTGACATTGGATTGTAAAACAACCCAAGCCTGAACGGGATACCGATTACACCTCCATGATTTCTCGAGCATTTTCCACAATTTCCTGTGTGATTTCTTCGACCTTCGCATTGATATCAACTCGTAGTACTGTTTCTTCGCCTAGATAACCATGTGCAGCTTTGGGGCGGGGAATTGAGCCAAAGCTCGTCATCACCCTTGGATCCAAGGGCTTCAATACGGGAAGCTCCTCCTCCTCCTCATATAGAGGAACAAAGAGAACTCCGATACCATATTCTTCCACAGTCTTTCTGATTGAGATTTTGTGCCATTGCTCTAGCTCGGGGTGTGTGACGACCATCAAGGCAGGGTTTAACTTCCGCCCGATCTCATCCCCAAGCGGCGTGGATATGACAGGCTTATTGACATATTTTGTCGTGGGAGCGTCCGAAGACATGAAGCTTTTCGCAATGCTGGAAGTTGAGGCGGCATCCGAAGTGGCGGATGCGATAGAACTAAAGGACCCTCGCCGGCTCGTCGATGTCGAGGATGTCCCACCAAAGCCAGAGAAGCCCTCATTGGCAGGCCGGGATTCTTCGGGGAACAAAAGACCCGTTCTGGTCATTTTGGAAAGCCACATGCGCTCATATCGCGCCTCATTCGGTCGGACAGCGTCGGCATCGCCATCAGCTCCCGAGAGGCTTCTCGACATGCCCACGGTGGCGGCTTTGGCTGACGTCTCATGCAAGCTGTCGCCTTGAAAGAGCGGACAGGAGAGTGCCGCAGCGACTGATTTCGCAATCTGAACTTTGCCTGCCACCGATGTCGAAGCTGTGATGAGAATGATATACTTCGATGGTTTGGTATTCTCCTGGGGCTCTATCTCCGGTTTATCGGGGAGACGATGAAGCATCGCCTGCGGCGTTGGTGGACGAATCGGATAGTCAGACATCCTGCACGCGCCGAAATCTGGTCGCAGTTCCTGTAGTATTATGGTATGGAAGAAGATCGTTTGGTTGACCTGACGTTCATCGTTTGACAACCGCTACCCCGCTTTGTGTGGCTTCAGGCTACCGGATCCTTCGTGGATATTCGGCTGAATCACATGACACCAAAATGATTCCATCGTTTCTCAGAAAGACTTTCGCATGATTGTCTTTACAACAGTTTCACTCAATTACATCTTCCGCTATTCGCTTATGTCTTTTGGTATGTATAGCGCGGCCCTAGCGAACTCATCACCCTTAATTCCCGTGGTTTGACGTAGAATGGTTCTGTCGCGTCGAAGTACTCGTTGTAGTAGTCTTTTGTCATTTGGTGCTTTTCGTCTCAATCAACAGCCGGAAATCTGAAGGAATATCAAGTTATCTCACCTTCATAATCCAGTCCACAGGCTCAGACCTTGTGATATCTCAGCGTCAACTCAGACAAACATCACTGACACCACCACGAGTAACTTACCATTTCTCAATCCACGTAATCGTCCCAGGCGAATCATGCACTTGATACATCTCAAAGTGCATCAACTCGGGCTCCCTCTTCATCCTCTCTATCGTCGGCTCGGCGGCTTCTAGGAACCTCGCCACGTCCCTCGGCCGGACGTGAACCGTTACGTGGAAAACCGTCGACATCGTAACTTGAATACGGGCTGCGATCCGATGAAGTCGATTGTTTTGTCAGACGAAAGACGTCGTCAAAGCTACGGAGCTATGATCCCGGGGACCGGAAGCTTTATGTAGCACGCAATAACAGTCGCCCCGCACGTCCGAGGTCGAGCCCAACGGTAGCTCAGAGGGTGAAACGTCTGATGTCCGACCAGCTCCGAGAGATGTCTTGCCGGAATTCCGGACGTGCACTGGCGTGGACTTGGGTGATGTCATCCCACAATTGTCCACGGAGTTAAGGCAGGCTTGTTGTTCAACCTTGAATTTGCTATGGGGAAGTATGTGATCAAGATGCTCCGACGGTTGGTCAATGCGCTGAACTTGATGGAGCAACCTCTGAATGCGAGACGTGATGCTTCTCGGCGGTCCCCTCGCTCCACGTCCTTCGGCCCTCTCGCTTCGAGGCGAGCCATGCAAAGAATAGTATGATCGCAGCGACTAGAAGAACACCACACGCAAGGGCTAGGGTGACAACGCAAGGCCCATAGGACGTTTTCAAATCCCAGAACGTCGCTGTTCTGCCCTGAGAGCTACCCACCCACACAAGAGTCCGTGCCGGCGTGCCTCTTCGTATCTTTTCGCAAAATCCAAACACGCAGCCCACAGCGGCGATGGTAAAGATGAAAGACAAGACGGATAAAGTGAAGATGGCGATATAGATGATTCGATTGCGTTTGATCAGCCATGCTATCGCCAGGATAATCGCCACACCAGTCGTCGCTATTGCAACAGCCGGAAGGACGAATCCCAGCGTCAAGTCTCGCGCGCTGCCAGCTGTGTTAAAGGAAGGGAAATCCTCATTGAGGCCTCGCATGACCACGGCGGGGTTGTAGCCTGATGTGCCGTTGCCTTTGACACAGCCTTCCGGGTGCGTTCCCCTATTCGCGAATTAGTCACTCAGCCTGTTTGTAATCGAAAGCAGATCAGCTCGTCTCATGGCTACTTACCATACTTCACTCGTATATTGACACCAGCCCCAGAGCCCGAATTGCACTCTGATCTCTCCGCCAGTCGCTCCTCTACGATCGTCGTGAGCACCCACAGTGAAGAGAGGCAAGCTGGTGTTTGGAATGGACGCGCAGGTGACAATGAGGAGGGCGAATGCCACAACCAACGTCAAGGCACCGACCGCAGTCAACAGTCGAGCACCCATGATGATCAATTGAAGAAGAAGGGCTGGAGAGGTCCCTCGGTGTTTGTGTGTGCAACCTTTTTCTGTGATTGTAATAGAGTCGAGTTCTGAATAAGACTAAACGACGAAGATTCCATGACAGCTTTATACAGACAAGATGGATCAACGGGGCAAGCCTTTTTGACAACTCGGAGTCCTTCTGCCACATGAGCAGGGCGAAATGCTCATTGCGATGGCGTGATGGTGTGTCACTCTCTCTTTGCAAGCGGGCGTGGTCTATGTATTGTGTCTAAGAATCTGACGTCAAGTTGAAGCTGGGCGCGAAACCGTGGCCCAATCATTTACGGATAATAGGATTCAGGATGAATGATCGTCGGCTGTCAGCACCTCATGTTGACAGTGCTGGTTCAGATACACTATAGTCTGCGCCGCACATCGACTTTTGCCTCTCAACCTCCTCTTAGGCTGGAAGTTTTTTCTTTCAGCCGTTTAGCCACAAGCGGGATCGCTCAAATGGCCCCGGGCGCCGCCCGCCAAGACCAACGCTCATCATCATTGGATAGATGTAGATGTACTTCGGAAATAATCAATCGCCCTTTTTGATTGGTTTTCGGACTGGTCAAAGACGTATTCTCAAGATTTTGGATTTCTATGAATTTGCCACATATAGCATTATAACAAGGGGGTATCTTTATCTCTCCTAAGCCGACATAGCAGGTCTCGTCTGCTCATCAACAACCTCCCTGAAGATCTGGTTCTTCTTCGCCACATCAGCCGTACCGCTACGGTCGCCAAAGACCTCGTCCATCTGCTCCAGGGTTCGGCCAGCCGTCTCGGGAACCAACCACCAGACCCAGACGAAGGACAGCAAGCAGAAGACGGCGAAGAAGATGTAGGCTCCGAAGCCTGTGTTCTGGACGAGGGGAGGGGTGATGAGACCGATGATGAAGTTGTTGATCCAGTCTGAATTATTGTTAGTCTCTGAACAACGAGAGAATATTGTGTCGCGGATAACTTACTGGAGCAAGTGGAAAGGGCTACACCCTTGGCACGGAGAGAGGACGGGAAGACCTCGGAAGGCATGGCCCAGGGGACAGGTCCCCAGGAAGCGCCGAAGCTGAGCATGTAGATCATGAGGAAGGTGACACTGACCCATCCCTGGGTCGTGTAGCTCGGCCAGTCATGCGAGTAGACACCGACAAGCGCGGCGATAATCGTGTGGGACACAAACATGAGGGCACTGCCGATAAGCAGGATGGAGCGACGTCCGAAGCGGTCCATGGTCCACAGACTGGGAATGACACCGACCAGCTGAACACAGTTGAGAACACCGGACATGATGAGCTGCATGTTGCTGTCGAGTCCCATGGTCGCGAAGAGGGTCGGGGAGTAGTAGATCAACGCGTTGATACCGACGAATTGTTGGAAGAACTATTTCACAGCGTGGTTAGCATCCATTTCTGGTGTTTTGGGCGGCCTGTGGTGGGGAGCATACCATCAGCAATACTCCGACTTGAGTGCGCTTCCAGCAGCCAGCCTTGAAGCAGTCGGTCCACGAGGCAACCTCCAGCTTCAAGCTGCTTCCAAGGTCATTGTTTCCAACAAGGGTCGGGTGGCGCTCGGCGGAAACGGAAGTCTGGAAGCGGGCCTCGGCGATAATCTCCATCCACTCGCGGCGGACGCGGGGGTCGGTGTCGGGCAGCGTGCGGAGCTTGGACAGGTTGTGGAGGGCCTCCTCTTCGCGGCCCTTGGACGCCAGCCATCGGGGAGAGTATGGGAGGAAGACGGCACCGAAGCCGAGGAGGAGACCGGGAAGGATCTGGATGAGGAAGGGGAGTTGCCACGACCAGTGGTTCGGGATGCTCTTGGTTCCGTCTGTGATGCATTAGTTAGGATGGCTCATAAAGCTGAGTGTCTGAGGGTGCTTACAGGTAATCCAGAATGAGATGACGATGCCGACGACAATCGAGAGCTGCTCAAAGACCAAAAGGGAGCCACGAATCTCGGGAGGCGAGATTTCAGAGATGTACAGGGGGACAACCATCGACAACCTAACCCAGTCAGCTTACGAAGATTCAGAGGTAGAGACTGCAACACTCACATGCCGATGCCCAATCCTCCGATGAAACGACCACCAACCAGCATGTCGTAGTTGAGCGCAGAAGTCTGGATAGCGGAACCAATTGTGAAGACGACAACGGCAACCATGATAGAGCGCTTGCGAGAGATCCAGTCGGCGATCCAACCCTGGTTAAGCGCGCCGATGAAGGCACCAAGGGTAATCATGGCCGTCATCAGACCCTTCTTGAAGCCAGAGCCGGCGGCGTGATCGGAGACTTCGGGGAAACGCTCGAGGAACTGTTCCATGACCAGTGTGACCGAAATGACACCTTGATCGTAGCCGAAGAGCAGACCTCCAATCGCTGAGAAGGCTGCGCAGAGGGCTACATAGTGGGAGGAGAAGATTCCGCGAAATCCTACGTCGAAAGTGAGCACGAGTTGAATAGTCTAGCAGATGATGTGTACGTACCTGAGGGTCCGTAGGGATCGAGAGCATCATCGGAGAGGACTGTCTCTTGCTGCTCGGTCGAGGCGCCGAACTTGGTCGACGACTTTTCCAAGTCGGAGGCTGATGCCGGTCGATGAGCCATGATGAACCGTGTGTGTACCGTATGAGTCTGGAGAAAGATTTGTTAGTTCATGACATTCTGACATGGTGTTGATGTGAAACGGATACCTGACTAAGCTGGGCAACGCTTAGGAGGCAGGCCGGATTGGGATGAACTCACTTTGGATAGTGTTGATATGCAACCCTGCGAGCTGGGGCCAAGTAAAGGGAAGAATGAGGAAGCTCAATCCAGTCTGTGAACCGGAATCAAGTACGGGGGGTATCTAAATATGTTGGTGAGAAGGGAGCTTGGGTCGCACTCGACTGAAGTCTCAAGAACGCAACATGATTCTCAAGACATGGCACGACGACGTCTTTATAGACTTTTTAGCTGGACCTCGCGTCCTCCCCTTCGGTTTCCCCAAATCCCTTGGCCAGGGCCAGCCCAGCTGGTCCCGAAGACGCCCGTTCCCAATTACACGGCATCGAAAAAAACAAGACAAGGGCAATGGGCGCCCCACTGCGCTTGGAAAGCCGTAGATACTCGACGGGACCTACGTATGGTATAGCCGCAGCGAGCCAATGGCCACGCGCTAGTTGTCACACACACACCCACACACACTCACTTGTCTCTCCCAAAAACAGGCACGCACTCCTCACACGTACACGAGCCGCTAAATCGTGGGGGAATTAAAAGAGGGTTTCTGGGGAATTGGAGAAATGGGGAATCCGTGTCAGCGTTCGCTCCGCTTCCAATACGCGGGCTGTCAGTGGCTGCAGGGCGGCGTGGTCACAGGGGAGGGGGCTAGGATGTGTCTGTCGCTGGACATATGGATTCCTCTTATTTTCGGCCATCAGTCCGGGTACCGCGAATTACGACCGGGGTTATGCCCGCGGCAGTTTTGGAGAAAACTTGGCCAAGGCTGGATATTGAGACACAGTTGTCGTTGCCAGTGGGTTCGCATCACCGCAGTCTGCTGCCTCTGCAGACAACACGTTGATGGCCGATGACAGCGCCTGACGGACGATCCCTGCTCCGCCCCTGTCCTCGGCAGTGGTCCGTTAATCGAGCGCCCGGAGGTGGGACTATGGAAGGACTTCGAAGATGGAACAGCCGTTCTGTCATGTTCTGTCTCCTGACTGATGACAGACCGTCTTTCCATACACCGCCAGGGGGTGGTTGTTGGAAGATTCTCGCAAGTGAGTTTGGCCGTGGGGGATGGAAGCTTTGGTGGGGAAGAAGAGTGTCTTCGAGGAGGAGGCTCGAAAAGCCCCGGAATCTCGCCGTGGAACACTCCACAGCAGATGGAGAAACCCCGTCTGGGGTGGTGGTCATTGGTCGCTATGGGTTCCTGTTAACGCGAGTCAGGGGCGGGCCGCCTCTCTACGGCTGTAACGTGCATTAACAGCTTCGTCATAGGCTAGGGGGGGTTGCCGTCTACCTAGCCAGCTATTCGTGTGTGCTCGCATTGCCGGGGCGGGATGATTTGGTAATTTGGGCCGGTGTAAAGCTCGCTGCCAAATGTGAGGCGGCCTAGGAGCTTTCTTCCTCTTCCACGCGGGGAAGCAAGTCGCCCCGATGCAGCCATTTCCCGTTATCACCAACCAGGAAATGCTTTTATCCCCTCGACCTTCCCTTGGCCACCACAATCGTCTCATTTTCACGAAAGAACAGCCGATTGAAGGTCGCAGACGACGGGGTGAAAGGGTCCAAAATCATGTCGTCGACATGTCTGGTACGTGTTTATTCCCACGCGGACTTTTCTTTTAATCTTCATCGTTACCCCAGATTGTCCACCCGCACGTTTATTTCTACCCCGGATTTCGTCTAAGCAGCCACGAGATCTGAAAGTCTGGAGTACATATGTCGTCTGGACTACATGTGGCGTGGCGTCTGGAGTTTCTTCACTTTTGGGGAGCAGAGTTCAATTGCTGACATGACTTTGTGGTTTCGGGGTTTCTGCTCTGTTTTGCGTCTGAGCTGGGGAGAAAAATGCCTGAATAGAGAATTCCCCAAAAACAAGTCGGGAATTCAGACCTCATTCAGCATCGAAACCCCAAAACCCACTCAGGCGCAACAACAGCCGCAGAGCCCCAAGGACCGCATTGCCAAAACCAGACCTGCAAAAAGCAACACCTCAAATGCGCGTGGAGCACCGATGACGCCGCCGCTCCCGCTGGTCCGCCGTCCTCTCGGGCCGACACCACCACCACCAACACCACATCAATCTCATGTATTCGATGCAAAGCGACTGGCAAGGACTGTGTCCCGGCCCCCACTATTCGGTTCAAGCACTCTACCGAGTAAGGCGGAGCTCCCTCTTGTCTTTTCCAGCGCCGTGACCGACATGCGAAGTTTCCTGTTGCAGCCGGCCCTTGCCAATGGACAAGTACCACGAGAATGACACGCCCC